GAGTGAGTGCACTACATATTTTAAGACAGTCTGTTTCTCATGAATATATTCAGACCACGACCTTCGATTTTGTTAATATACTTAAAAGTGGCCTATCCATTCTTATGTTATCTCTGTGTATGCCGACATGGTGATTTTAGCGAAAATTGTGTTGAAAAATTCAACTATGAAACCGTTTAATAATATTGCAATGATATGATGCTATATTATTATTATACGCGTCCGACTAAACTTGCGAGCGAATACACGGGAAACGCGCTAGCCCCACCACCGGAACAACCACTGCTGTGTCGGCGATGTGGCAAAAAACGATGGCGGCTTCGGAGGAGCGGTGACCGAGGAGAAGTAACAGCAGCAGCGACGGCGGCGTATACCGACGAACCGTACACAGTCACAGACAACGTATAAAATACGTTCTGAATATCACTGTTATAGCCGACAGATTTCTTTTGTTTCCCCGCCCCGCGACTGTACATTATACATTTATTTATTTATCTATTTTTTTTTTTTATAAATACATATAAAACACTGTCCATCGATCTCTATATATTGTGTGTGTGCATGCATATATATATAAGTTCTGTAGCCGTTAGCCGACGGTCTACTGTATATAATAATATTATAGCGGCATCGGTTCGTAATGAACCTGAAACGAGTTTTACCTTGAAGTCTATCGAGGTGTGCCGGACAAAAACCTGACTGTACACGACTATATATATATATATATATATATATATATTTTGAGAAAGAGAGACTGTCTAACCGACCAATGCCACGTTATATTATAACTATTTTTATTTTTTATGTGTACTGTCAAGTTCTTTTGACCGCCTCGTCAATCGCGTGTCATAATACAATAATAATATAATATTGGATCCCAATCGCCGAAATCACAACATTATATAAACCGCTGTTAAGACCACACCTGTTGCAGTCAACCAATGGTATTTCGTTATCAGCTTTTTGAAAAAGCGGTTTTCACCTGTAAAACTGCGGCACCGATGTAACACCATATACAAAAAAAAAAGTAAAATACAGAAAATAATTCGTGTAGCAAAACGTCGCCCAAGCTGCGGGTATGACATCCGCTCGTGTTCGGACGGCAGGCAAAAACGGTCGTTATATACGCGTCTACTTCGATAACAGGGACAGAAATAATGTAAATATATGGACATATAGCTCAAATTCGCGACTGGTACGGAGCGATGGCGTCTCGAGGACAGGCCAATAGAGCGATTATACTTGTTTATATTATTAATACATATATTATACACTTGGAGACACATTATATCATAAACCTCTCCACCTATAGTCGATTACGTTTTTTTTCTCGAAAAAAAAAAATCAATATAAATAACAGAATCCTTTATCCGGTATAATATGCGTCCGTTGTTACGACCGAGGCCGTCGCCGTTCGGTGTCCTTTGGCGGGACCGCCCACCCTACCTCTCGCCTAACACCGCGATGACGGCTGCAATGCTAGCGGTTATATTCGTCTATACGTAGGTACCTACTTATGCTATATATATTATTGTGTGTATAATATTATGCTGCTGTAGACAGAACAATGGCACTGACAATTTACGGCCGAAAACTATTTTTATAATAATATATTATGTTTTATATTTTATTTATGATGCATTTCGTATTATTATTATTATTCCATATCATATAAAATCGCTGGCCACTTACACAGGAAAAAAAACTACAGTAATTTGTCTATGTCAATAGAAGTTTTTAATGTTTTTACAATAGCGGTTTCCGCACCACACATAATATCGTGAATTATATTGCACATTCACTTGTGGTGTATAACGGTTGGCGTCTACACGTTACATCGAGAAATCGTAGGCTTTTTTTTTTTTCGTACGTCTGATCATCATACAATGTTTGTCCGAGGAGCTAGAGGAGGTAACGCCTCATCGAGTTTCACGTCAGAAGCGTCACATTATAAATATTAAGCACCATCTCGGACTGAAGATAATAACCGAAGACATCATTTATACCGTTCGTGCTTATCAAAACTACGTTACATACTACATATAATATGCTTACTATGAGATAATAATATGTAGGTACATTACTTTATACCTATTATATCTCGGTAATGTAATTCGACGCAATAGAAAAATAGTACACACCAAAAACGATTGTCGATCGACAATATCATTTGGTATTCATTTACCGGCGGCCCGTAAAAAACACACGACTTGTGTGTAGGTACGAGTCGCGCCTACGACATCGTCCGGTTCGTCGTTTTGTCGTCAGGCCATAGTATTGTAGATATCTACGCATTCACAATATTATATACATAACAATGCGCGCGCGTGTGTGTGTGTATGTGTGTTGAGACGGCGGCAGGTACCGTTATAATACGCGCAGCCGCTCGTTTATGCCCGACGGAAGAGAAGAAGAGTGTGACGTTCGCCATTATGATTTCGTAGTACAATAATAATAACGTAATGCATAATGCGTGTACGGTTTTTTTGTTTTTTTTTTTTCGTTACCCCCCCTAGGCTAACGCCAGTCCCACGCAAATCGAAAAACAAAAACATTATATATTTTTAAAAAATGAATACAATCGCGACGACGACATACCTATATATTATAAAGGCGTACCTACGCGACCGTTGCAATAATAATATTAAAATATTTAACATAATATTATGCGGGCGAGAAACACCCACATTCATTAATATTCCACATTCGTCGCACGTGAAATATACCGTACGGTTGCGGCCAAAATCCGTCCAAGGTCGGTATTTTTTTAATACTTTTCGGGGTTCTCGGCAGATGAATTATTATTATTCGTCGTCGTCGAAGCAGTGCGACAACAAGTGCGTATTTTAATACGCGCGTTGTACAACATACGCACGCAAGCACACGTGCCCCGTAAAACGTATACCTAATAATAGGTATACATGTATACGAAATATTTGCACTCAAGTCACGTATAGGTATATATCGTCGATTGTGTCGTCCCGATTGGCGGCAGTGCTGGCGGTGTTTGATTTCGAATAGCGATAAAATTTAAATTACACGCGTTCACGTTATACACATTTGTATATATATAATACATAAGCACCGTCTCTCTGCAGCAGCGCGCACACCGCCGTCGGAGTATGATATTTTGTCCTTGGGAGATTTTAACGACCGACCATTATGTTGTAGCTGGCGCAGACGTGAACTTTGCCTTGAACTTGGTTAATGATTTGAAATTCAGCAAGTATTTCGCACGGTTATACCTATATATATGTATGTATGTATGTATGTATATAATAGCGTCGTGTATTGTGTACGCGTATATTATTATGATTGTACATATTATATACACACACGCGCATGCACGTTACGCAAACAAACTCGCTCTCCTACACACACACGCACACATACACACATATATACATAAAAGTACGTGTACACGTTTCGATGGTGTATAAAATAAAAAATAAAATAAAACAAGTTTTGCCAGTCACGCTCTAAGATTTGTTCACACAAGCCACGTACATCGTCGGCGGCATTGATTTGGATATATAGTCGTGAAAAAGCTGTTACTTACCAATATATGTATTTACAATATCGTTGTAAACGTAACGAAATTCAATAGCCGCAAATATCTGATTTAATTGGTTACCGCTGAAAATTGTACGCTTTTTGCTCTTTCAGGTGAGTTGAATAAAATAAAATAAAAAACACGATCGTCACCATTACGGTGAATAATCTCCGAGGTAAATGTTGCGGGTCGGACACAGCTATATTGTTAATATATATATATATATATATATACATATATATTTATATATATGTTTATTGTATTATAGTGTTTTCTGTGCAGTCGACGGCTGAGTGCAACGACATTGATCGTTACGGTCGGCCGCGGTAGCTGGTTGGATGGTTTTTTCCGTTTTCCTTCCGTACCCAATACTTTTACACCGGAACGGCATAGATAATGCGTTTATATACACATATATACTTACTCGTAGATGACCCAGAATACTTCATTATATATTATAGAGTTTTCACGTGAAACGCGTCTAAGTCGAACGACGCCGATTCGAATCGATAATTATAATATATTATGTTTTCATAGGCATCTGGTGTATTGTATTACATATACATTAAAGGGTTTTGATATTGAAATACTGCATCGTGAACGCAGCCTTATTTCTCGACAATCCGGTTAGAACCGTTCGTCCGGTACTCGTGACGCGGCCAAACCAGGTTTAATATTGCTGTGTGTTTATTATATTCACTCCACGTCCTACTTCTATCATGACTCGTCTATGCAGGGGCCACGACGGAGTATCAGGAAAGTTCACAAGACTTTGATATGCGTAAAAATGTGCAGTCCAACATTATGGAAACTGTGACATATTTCATTAAACACGATAAAATATCATGTGTTGCGGCGTGGTTAAAAAATACCACAAACGCTGTGTTCGACAACACGTTTTTTACCCTATTGTCAAACGTAAGGATTGTTATCTGTAACCATTAAATGTAATGAGTCTGGGTGTCGACTGTTGAACAATAATAAAACTCGACCTTGGAGTTGCGTGTTGTTACTTTTATTTGTCCCGTTTTGTTTGTCCTATCTGACTATACAAAGACCTGGTCAAATACTGTTACAACAGCAATGTGATTTATGGTTTTATTGAAGTCAATAAGGGGTTTGTCGATAACCCTTTTATGTTTAACGCGCATAGTAGTAGTTGATTTTGGGGTAATCGTGACTTTGTTGCTGTATTTGTACAGTATAAAGCAATTATCCTTGGTCTAGAGATAAATAACAGTCTGGCAGTGGGTTAAAGGGTTTAGGGTATCGCGTGTTACGTACAAGTTTACGATGTTTAAATTGACCTTGAATATGACACGGTATACAGGTGTTTGTAATAACAGACCTACCAAACGAATGACAATCGATTTAAATTTTGTTAGCTTAATTGTATCTTTCAGTGCTCTATTGTACGTTTAAAATAATTAATATTTATATTTTACAGAGAAAAATGTCACTAAAAAAGATTCACTGAAGGATGACGGTGAAGAGGTCGACCGAGTAGATTGTTTTGAACGAGAATCACGAAATAGAGCTGAATCTCCAAATCACCGAGTTAGTCCGATTGTGTCGAATGAGCCTACTACGCCAATCGTATGTCCACCGTCACCCGATTGGAACCCACCGCCAAAAAGGCGATTCATATCCACATCAGATGGTGATAATATACCATACGGTAGTAAAGATAGTTTACAGGTAACTCATCGTCAATGCGAACCACCAACCATCAAAGTCGAAGAGGAAGCTGTGACTAACTCGGAGGTTGAACCAAAATTACCACCACCACCACCACCACCAGCTCCAAAATGTCATCAGGTATCCGTCATACAAAGAACACCGGCAGCTGTAAAATCTCCACCCGTCTGCCCGAAAAGACCGTTAACACAGTCTCCGAGCACTGTCCAAGAACCTGAACAAGACGCACCGATCGATTATCATGTGCCCAAAAAGGAAGCAGATTTGGACTTGGAAATTGTTCGAGCCATCAAGAACAAATTCACAATTACGTTACGAGGACAATTGGTTTCAGCTCCCAATGGTATCATCACTGCCGCTGCTGGCCGTGGAAGGAGCAGTGGTGGTCAACAAGGAGGTGGTGGAGGAGGAGGTACAAACAGTGGTAGTGCCAACTCTGGTTCAAACCGCGGTTCGTCATTACATTCCTACACGCTTGGTGGTGGCGGAGGAGGTGGTCCCACCGGCCTCCTAGGTAGTGGTGGCGGTGGAGGCGGCATGGCTCCAGGTGGTGGTGGCATGAATCCAGGCGGCAACGGCAAACATTTTGGCGGGCCAAACAGTCCTGTGTCACTGCCACCCTTCCACGAGAGCCTCATAAAGTCTGGAGGCAACTGCTATTCCGCTCAGTACAACAACCAATATCACTTGATGATGACTGAACAATTATGTTTCAATAACAACGATACTGGTCAAAATCCTGTGGCTGGTGGTGGTGGTCCTTTCTCCATTGGCCTGGAAGGTCCACCGAAACAATATTCTATGTTACAAAATGCCTCATCGCTAGGTATAGATATTAAAGAGGACGATTGTGAAGATCTATCAAGCTACGTAAAAGAAACTAACGGTTTCGACACATTAATGGCTGATTCTGAAAATGGTACATCCAATGATCCTTTGCAGTTCACTGCTACTCTTACTTTTGCGGGTCCTACGGACCCTGACTTCCTGGACAGTCTTAATGACGCTGCCGAATTGTTCTTCAAAGAGGTAAATTTATATATCAATAAAATAATTGTTTTGCTTCTTAATATGATATAATTGCATCATGTGAAACCAAACTATGTGTTATTAATATTACGATTAATAATATTAATATTGCATTTATGTACCTACATGACCATCAATGTTTTAATTTTTTTTTCAGCCCCAAGAGTGCATTCCTCCTTCACTCGTCGAACAACCTTTACATATGTTCAATGAACATAGAAACGGATTTTCTGAATCTCAATCAGAGAAGCGCAATTACCTACAGCAGGTGAACAATAACAATAACGGGCAGCCAGTACCATGCAGAAATAACTACGGAAGTTATGATATTTCAAAAGACAGACTATCACAAAGTAGTTTTGAAGATTCCAACCAGCAATTGCAACAGTTACAAATACAAGTGCAATTACAACAACCTCAAAACGTGGACGTAAGCCTAACATTGATTAAATTTCTCTAACAACTTATAATATGTAAAAATCCTTAAAATCTTTTATTGTTTTAGGCTTGTGGACAAATGATGTTGTCACCGGGTTTATCGTCGTTAGAAATGGACTCAAATACCAGCATGTCAGCTCCGTCACCTGCTAGTGTTAGTATGGATGGTACAATGTCATCACTAACACCACCACCTCAAAATGGCAAAGATTCCAGTAACTCCGCTTTGGATGTCAGAGTACTGCAACATAGGGTGAGAAAGACCACCCCACCCGTAGGGAAACCAAAATATACTTCTTTCACCAATAAATCGATGGCAAAAGTACATATTGTTCTTTGATACATTTCTTTATTCCCCAAAACCACCCAGGACCCATTGTGTGTACTAATCCCAAACTATCATTTACAGCTCGGTCTTCCAAATGACTTGCCATTCGAGTTCGTTAACGGTGGCCATGGCATTAAGAACCCATTAGCTAATCACGACACTCTACCGCCACCGACGCCATCAATGCTCATTAGAACACCAGAGCCAGAGAGGAACAATACTTCAGTAGCTCCCGCAACTATTGTATCAGTAAACACTACTCCCGAACCAGCCGAAACAACAAAAAACGGTTCAAAGTTCTGTTGTAACCTGTGTTCCAAGACTTTCAACCTACAACGTTTATTAAACAGACACATGAAATGTCACAGTGACGTCAAACGATACCTATGTACATTCTGCGGAAAAGGTTTTAACGATACGTTTGACTTGAAACGACACACTAGAACACACACGGGTATGTATATAGTTAATTTAGAAACATGTAATTAATAAATAAAATGTATAAAAGGGTTGAATTGTATTTTTAAATTGAAAAATGAATAAAAATAACTAGTCAGTTTTGTGTTTGCTTATTTTTTTAAATATAAGATAATTTACTTTTAAATTTACTTTTAAATTTTTTTTTTTTTTTTTTTTTTTTTTTTTATGGTATAATATTATATCTCAATTAGAATTTAAGATCGCTGATAATATTATTTATATTAGAGCTTTAAAATTTCCTTTGACTTTTTTAAATGACATGGTTGTAGATCGAAGGGCTGGTTGATTAAGTAAATTATTTACATAAAAATATAAACAAAATCAATTCAAGAATTCAAAAATTTAAAAATTTCTCAAACTTGTTTAGTTTCTTTTTGTTTTACTAAAATCAACAGTAACCACAAGATTTAATAGTTTTTTTTCTATCAACAGGTGTTCGGCCTTACAAGTGCAATTTGTGTGAGAAATCGTTTACCCAACGTTGTTCACTTGAATCTCACTGTTTGAAAGTTCATGGCGTACATCATCAGTATGCTTACAAAGAAAGGAGGACAAAGGTACGTAGTCTTGGCATAGCTATCACGATAATATATTATTATGCATTTATACGAGTCATAAGTGGAGTAAATGTCGTAATAATTACGGTATTTAAATTTAATGTGTACGTTTTTCATTACAGATGTACGTTTGCGAAGAATGTGGACACACCACCAACGAACCTGAAGTGCATTACATTCATCTCAAAGAAAAACATCCGTACAGCCCAGCACTGCTTAAGTTCTACGATAAGAGACACTTCAAGTTCACAAACTCAAACTTTGCCAACATGTTGCTTCAAGTACGCACCTAATATTGGGCTGATTGCAATCATATTGCTAGACTGACCAAAATGTTAATCTATTTTAACAAATATTTTTAATTACTTACACTACGTAGAACTTAATTTTTTTAACAACAAGTTATGCTGTATCATTGTCGTTTGACAAAAAAAAAAAAAAATAAATAAGAAAATAATTTGAAATTAGAAAATACGACAAAATATCACCGCTTAGATATCTCTTACCATTTTATAACGTCTCAATGCAAAATCATTTTATTTTACAATTTAAACCCCATTTTAAATTTGTTCTTAATTTTAATCCGTATTAATTTACATAAAAAATCAATTAATTACAAACAATTTTTTTAAATTAATTTTAGAGGTTTTTAAGCGAATTCTGTCAATAATAATTATTAACTTATGGTCATTGAAGTCACTTTGCTTTAACAATTGTATGCTTTGCAATATTTTTAAGTAGTACAAAACGTAGATAATTGTGCAATTTTTAGAAAAATTACTAACCAACTATTGAATAGTTCATAAAAATGTATTTTACAAGTGCATGGGTGAATATTTGATAGCATCGAGGATAGCTTAAAACTTATACTTAACATGAAACCATGAAGAAGCTTTAATTTTTTAGATTTTATTAGTGGTTTCAATAGATTCTAGTGGGTTTAGGCCCACTTCCCAGTTAAGTCTTTCATAATATCCACCTACAATAAGGTAATGGTAATTTAGTGCAATTAATCTATGTACTTAATACTGCAGTCGAAATATAAACTTACGAATCCAATTTGTATAATTATGACAGATTTAATGCTAAAGGCTTGAATATTAAATTTTTTTTTTAATGAAATTAATACGATTTCAACATTATTAAGAAGTATTCTTATTATTCAGTTATAGTCGTAAATCATATCGTCTATAATTACAATGCATTATATACTTATTATATACAACAATTTACAAAAAAAAAAAAGGATTTATTAGAAGAATAATTGAATAATCAAAAAATCCGATAAATCAAAAAAATGTATGTAATGTTTTAACCAGGTTCAGACCTATAAATCTTAAATTCTGAGGGCTTTAAATTTTTTTTGTGTTTAACTCCCCCTCCCTTTGAAAATTTCCCTAATTTAGTAAAAAAGTATTGCTTAATATTTGTATACATTAAAATTAACTTGAAACACTGAATGGGTATGCGCTGACTTCGAGTTTTGATCGGCTGATTAGTTCAATCTTAAACAAAATAATTTTTCTTTAAACTTTATAACGTCGTTTAAAATATTAAATTAAGTGATATACTTATATCTAATTATAAATTGCATAATATTTGTAGTTTTTGCATTTGCAAAAGATCGTTATGACATAACTAATTTTCACACATTTCTTCTAACAAAAAGCTCAAAAAATTTAGAAAATTTTAAATCAATTGAAACATTTAATATTTAGGCTTTTAAAACGATAGTAACAACACATATTTTTATATTGCACTTAACAAATAGTCAATTTAAGTTCCAAGTAAACTACAAAGTACAAATAATTACATATTATACTCTGAATACATTTTACGTGTCCCAATTACTTTTATTCGTTGCCAATATTATTATGTATCCAGTTGATCGATTTAATCCACGAGACCGTGATAACAACTTAAAAATTTGTGATACTTTAAGCCAGTAGTATTCAACCTTTATCAGTATAATTTACTAATTAAATCATATCATGACAATACATTTTTTTTATAATTTTACTATAGCGGATAATAAGTAGAAATAGTTTTACAAACTATTACATTTTAATTATAATTACAAGGAAAAACAAATTTATTTAAAATAATATAGTATTTTATCAAAATCGGCTTGAATGATCAACTGATCACCCGTATCGATAATTAATGTGTGCCTGACACCCGTACTATCGCAGTTGGACCCAATAAAAATAATTTTGTATTCTTAAAATAAATGTTTTCTCGTAATATTAGTAAATTATACCTATACAATTAATTGATGGTTTTTAAATTTAAGTGAGGGCCGCATCAATATCTACCGCGAGCCGCGGATTGGACACTTATGCTTTAAGCGTTTGAATGTTAAACAAATAAATACATATTCATAAATTTCAATAAAAGTACTAGGCAAAAAAGGATTAAAATCTTTATATGTATATCAATGTTGCGGTTTACCATAATGCCATTTGTACGTAGAAGTTATATTTCTTGGATTAGTAAACTTCAGTAATAATTAAGACATTCGTTTCATCAGTGATTATTATAATTTATTATAATTTATTATTCAAAGAGATTTCTTTTATTTATTCATACAACATTACAACGAGATAGATATAACTATGGACAGAGATATTAGAATCGGCGATATTTTGATTTTAAAAAAACGTAATGGAACTATTATAGATATCACTTACGTCCATTCTTTTTAAATATTTATCGGAAGTATGTTGAAAGTTATTTGAATGAGAGTTTATGTACATCAGGCTCGACATGTCGTTCAGTCTTTGATATTGTTGTTTTCTAATAGAAATGTTAATATTATATTGTATAACATTATGTTGTTTGGATTTTGTAAATAATCATTACTATAATGTTTAATGTAGATTTAATTTTAGATGTAAGTAGTATTTATTTGACACACTCACACAAGCGCACTCACATATTTATAAAATATAACATACATGTGTATGTATATTTTATGCTTAGTTTATAATGTAAGTTTTAATTAATAATTTTTAAGTACAAAGGTAAAACGGATCAATATCGTGATTTGTATTATTTATCAACAGTAATTATGATTGTTCATAAAAGGTACCTAGCTATGCCTAAATTTGCGTATTCATCATAATTTCTTTACTTCAAAGGGCGATTTAAGAAATTGTTATTTTTTTTAAACATTTTTTTTTTTTACAATTTACGATAGTTATAATTCAGTATTAGACCTAACCGAACGTCAGTGTTTTGAAATTTTTGTTGCTTTAAATGGAAATTATTTTTTTTTTCTAAAGTTTACCGCAAAATACCTCAGATATTTCAATGTATCGGAGTATCAAACTGTTTTACTTACAATAATACTGCCTGTTATCTGTTTCCATATATTATGGAATCTAATAAATTGAAGGTCAGCTGTATTACGGTAAATGCACATAGTATATAATATTTAAGATTTGTACCTAATTTTGCTCTAAAACAATTATTAACGAACGGATTTATCCCGGTATAAACTTAATAGTTTTATTTTCTAATGGTGGAATTCCTTTAGATACACAGATTTCATTAAAAACAAAAAGAATCCTGTAAATATATAAAAAAAAAAATTTACCTCGCGCTAAATCTTTCTAAAATATCGTCTTGGTGATCTGGTGCTATGCTGAATGGTGACGGTACCAACGGGGCTCGTGAAATCATAGATTATAATCGGAGAGGACCACGAAAGGATCCATTCCAAAGGACCAATAATATATAGATATACAGGTCTAACGATTAACGACACTGCTTGTGGTAAATGGGCTCTCATTAAAAATTATGTATGTTATAATAATATAATAATAACAATGTGTAAATAAAATTATATATAGTTATTTTTTAAATTTATTGACGAATAGATTTGTGTAGAGAAATAATTTAGTGTTTAAAAAAATTACTTTCGGGACGGGTAATGATATCCTAAAGTATTTTTTTTTTTACCTCAGTGGACGGAAAATAAATTATTTATTATGTTAAATTATATGTTTATTATTTAAGTACGATTATAGTCTATAGTATAAGACATATTTTTTTAAATTGGGAAAGGAATTTAATATTTTTTTTCTATAGTATTAAAAACTTAAGTATAATATTATATATTTATATGTAATACTATAAACATAAGCCTGTGATACATTTAAATTTATTCTTATACACGTCCTAACTGTATTAATTATATTATTATTATTATTATTATTATTATTATTATTATTATTATATTATCATTAAATTATTATTGTCTTAACATTAAGTAAACAATATTATTTAGTTTGTAGGTAATTTTTACATTTTTACGTTGTACTTCTTAAGTTATTTTAATAATATGCATTTTTATAAAAATATATACATTTATACATTATTAATATTATTATTTTTTCATTAATTATCAAATGAAGTTGATGTAGAAGTCAACGCAACGTTATAAATCAACTTATAAATAATTATAATCACGGAAAAATTACTACACAAAAATATGGAATTAACCTCAACCCCAATCTTTATGGATTCAAAAGTGAATTTGACTAGTTATGGATAATAAGAATTATTCATTACTATAGTCAGTTTAGAGCATTATTTTTCGTAACATTGTTTTTTATTTATCACTAACAATTTTTTTTATATTATGATATCTTAATAATTTTTGTTTATAATATTTAATTATATTCTGTGTCAAAAAAGTTAAAAGTTTTAGTATTAAACTTTAACTTGAATAATCATTTGATAATAGTGTATGGTCGATAAATAACAATAAAATAATAAGAATATGCGATACCAATATGATTAACGTTTATTTGTTTATAAATTTTAATTACAGACAATGTTCATAAAAAAAACACTTTTACATGATCAATTGTTTGTTTCAAAATATTTTTGTTTCACAACAATTTTTATTCTCAAAATTAATAATTAAAAATATAAATAGGTCAGGTAGTGACTATATACCTAAATATAATATAATTATATAAATTATAATAGAACATTTCTACAAATTTATATCAATATTTGTTTCTACGTATAGGGAATTAATACATAATATAATTTATGAAGTTTTTAAGATATTATATTCTGATTTCTAAATAATAATACAATAAAAACTATATGTACTTAATTAGATGTACGACAAAAGTAAATAATTGATCGGTAATCATTATTATTAGTACCTACTGAATTTATGAAATTAATGAATTCATGCAGGTATATAATACTAAAATGTATATTGTTTTATATAAATAATATGCAGAAGGCAAATAGACGTGAATGACTTGCATTCTGTTTAAAACGTTTTGTAGTCCCGTTTTGTTAGGATAAGTGGATTGCAAAAATTTGTTCGGTTGGGTATAAAAACAAAATATGGACATTTTTGTAACAATTCATTTTTCATATGAGCATTTCTTCAGAATTTGTTCATACAGGTTTATACATTTGGATTCTTAGTGTTAATTAGTGATCAATTTATTGAATTGAAGTTAGAATAGAAGATGCGGTTAAAAACAAACATTTTTATAGTTAGGAACTATCTCAACATTTTGTAAATTGAAAATTTAACACACTCTCTACTTTATAAGAATAATTTTGGTGTTAATTAGCAGTCATTTTTAAGCGATTTTTGTGAAACTATACGTAACATTTTTAAAAAGAAGTTTATACATAGGTTGTATACCTATTGCCTATGGATTACAACATTAAAATATCCAAAATTTTGTTGCATATTTCGGGCAACGATGAAATTATATATAATAATATGTTTTCGTATACTGGTAATGCATTGTATATACGTAATATCACATGACCCCACCCTGACAATAATTGACCTATACACCGTTAAAGTTCGACAAAACAAAACGCAGTAATAGGTATATATTATAATAGCTCATTGCGACTGAAAATGATTCTTTAGAAATATATCCGTATATATACTAACAATGACAATATAACAGTATTATGTGCTTATATGTAATATACGAATATGAGCTATAAACCTAATACTTGTACGCTTAATATGATTGAACTCTGCGAAAATGAAATAAAATTAACGTTTTGTCTATGTTTTTTTTCCGTACAGTGATGATTGAATTCTACTATTCCCTTTAATATTACGGCACAGAACATTGTGCACACAGAAGAGCTGCATCACGAACATCGTCTGCTCGAAGTCGCGCTCGTCTTCGAACCTTGCTTCCCAACCGACCAACCGACCACTCCGGTCGACTCATAAAATCGTGTTTGCGATCGATTTATAATGTAATATGAGGTTTGACGTTGAGATCTGGTGTCTGAATTCGTTGGTTGTTCGGATGTTGCGAAAGCACATCCTCCGTCGGTCACCGGAACCGGGAATAATCGCGAAAACTATAGGTTTATTATAGTAGCGGTGGTGAAGTATACCACGTATTTATACCCATAGACCATAATGGTCACAACGGTAGCATAAATTTAAGGCGGCGAAATACGCGCAAAATGCTTAAAGCTGAAAATGGTTTGCTCCATAGAACCAGCTTATGCCGAATTGCCGACTAAATATCGCGTGACCAAAATATCGTAACTGAAATATCGCGAAACCAGTATATCACATAGAATAAATATTGCCAGTGCCTAGTATGAAATATTGCAGTAATTTAATTAGAAATAAATAATATTGATTGATATTTTTTAATAGTTTTAATAATTTGATCTAATTCAAAGTATATAATATTGTTAATAAATGTATAGCACAATGTTTCTCAACCGGTGTTTCGTGGCACACAAGTGTGTCACTACCGTGGTATATGCGTATAATGTTATTAAGTATTAATTTTTAATTATATAATATATTAATAATTATTAATTAAAATTAAAATACTTTTTTTTGTTTACTTCTTATTATTTTATTACTATAGTGTTCTAAACTATAAGAAATATGCTGTGAACATAAAAAAGTTGAGAACCATTGATATAGTAGAATAAAATTGATAAAAATAATAAGAATATGTACCTATAATGTAATACAATTGATATAAGTATATAAAAAAAAAGAAAATTGAAAATAAATAATAAAATATGTATATTAATTAATGGAAATATAACATATTAAAAGAAATACCTTGAAAATGATCTTCAAATTCCCGATTATGATAATCTACTACTACTTTCTTTACTCGTTCAGCCCAACTGACTGTCTTGTTTTTTTTTATTTAATGTATTTGGATTTAACAGATGCGATAATAATTTACTTCGGTATTATTTTTTTACGATATATTGATTTTATGACATTTTTATTGCGATATTTTGGTCATTTGATATTTTACCGGCGATATTTAGTCGGGGTACCGCTAATGCCAAGACCATATACGGTGTATTATAGTTCTCATTTTGATTTGGGAGAACAATGGACTGTCATAATGTCCGACAATTTGACATGTTGAAACGAAACGACTTTTTTTGTTTTTAAAAATCAATCACACAGAATTGAAAATGTAATATTATCTGGGTACCTAAAACATGTAAAATTTGTATATTGCAAATATACTGTATATACTCATTACTCGTGTATAATTAAAATTATAAAACTTTGAAAATACAATATGTATATTAACAGGTACCTAACCAATTGTTTTTTTATTTTTATTTGTTTGGTTATACATTTTATATAAGATATAATATACACATATGAATAAATAATATAGTCCACATATTTTCTTATTTTTTATTGTCCCTGTTTCTTATTTAAATAGTTTCCTACCACCGAAAAACTACGAATAAATGAATGATAATAGCCAATAGGAGCAGTAAGTATAAATATAGTCTCAAGTGTTGCTATCTTTTGTAAAAAATCATGAAGACAAAAACTAACACATAATGTAAAGAGGTCAATAAAGTAATTGAAATTGCGTAAATATATTATATCACCTACATAATATATTTTATAAAATTTCTAAGCTACTTATGAATATATACCGATACTCAGGTGTTATAAGTATATCTACTATAATTTAATAGGCAAATTCTTATACACTAGTTCATTAAATGTAAAAATTATAGTATTGTAGCATACAGACATACCTACAATAATTAATAATTATGATGCATATAAACGCATTGGCATATTCATGATTTTACTTGAGGGAAGAAGAGAGTACTAATTATAATTAATTATAATGAAGTAAAAGGTATGGTTTCCTAAACGCGACCGTTCTCCGCGACCAGTCGCGCTTCAAGGAAACCGTACCTTAAGTAAGATCTCTCGTAAACATAATATACTGGTGCCTGCGTAAGTGAATAAAGTTCAAGGCTTTATTAGTGATCAAATTAATACACGTATTAACGTCATTTTTTTAAAATTCAGAGAGTCCCGTAGCCTCCTTATCTAATCCCTAGCCACGTCACTAAAAAAAAAAAATGTAAAATAAATAAAGATCAAACTTCAAATTTTGTACTATTTCCCAGTTTTATATTAATAAAAAAAAAAAAAAATTATGGAAATACACCTTATTTATTTTTGTAGATGAAAATAGAAAAATTATTATCGCACAGTAAAAAATTACCTTCTGCTTATAACGTTAATTAAGTAGGTATTTGTACCTGCTAGTTTATACAGAAAAAAATGTGTTCCAAAACAAATTATAAAATTTAAATGCAAAACATGAGAATTGTACGCTACACTTAAACACATAATTTTTGCCTAACTAATTATTTGAATTATCTGATGTTAAAAAATGAATTTTAAATTTTCATGGTTTATGAATTTGTTGTAGAGGCTTGTGCGTAACCTGATTTTTGCTCAAAAACACACTTTACAGGAAAAACTCTCGTCTCCCGTATAGTGATACAATCTTAATATATTTTTTTTATTATTATTATTATGATTATTGAAAGAAAAAGATTATTTGATTAATTATTATAAACTATAGAAAATACTTTAAAATTTAACTGTTTTTACCAATCATAACCAAATCTAGATACTATAACTAGTTAAAGTTAAATATAAAAGATACTTTTAAAATATTTTATAATTTAGTTTTTATTCATAATAACTTTCTAACTTAAACGTTAGTTGAATTAAATTGCAATCTAACTCAACTTGTTAAAAACAAAAGTTATAGGTAAGTTATTTTTATGATCACTCTAAAATTTCATATGTTCCAAACATTAGTAACTGCTAGCTGTATAATTAAAAATTTAAAATGGTTGTATAACACATTGTACAAATATAAAAAAAATCAAAAGCGCGGACAGACGTACTTTTATGGTAGAAAAAATGTATATATTTTATATAATTATTATTAAAAATTTTAACAAATAATTGCAGGAAGTCATATAACTCATATAGTTTGATTATAGATTTCAAACAGAAATAAACTAATAGACATTAGGTACTCATTATTCATTATTATCATTAAATATAAATACTTAAAGACTTTAAACATTAAGTTTGTACTCTATTATGAAATTAGTCAATTAATTTACAGTTGCTTGTGAAATTATTCTAATGAAAATCTTCAAAAAACAAAAAAATGTTTTCATCAAATGTGGGTATTTAGATTTATGTATATCTACGTTAATGATTAATTATTTATAGCGTGATTAAAAACATCAATGGTTAAGTATTTGTATATTTTATTACTAGAGCAAGGACTTTCATGCATTCTCATATTTTTTTTGGTTTACTTTTTCGTATGTAGAGTAAGTACACGATACATTTCACAATGTTTGTGACCAAAATCTCAAAGTTTTTAGTGCATAATGTTTGCATATTTTGACATTTTTGGGTTTAAAGGACATATTTTTTGATTATAAGAACATATTTTTAGTTTGTAGTGCATATTTTGAAGGTTTTTCGAAAATTATGTACTTCAGTAAATATTTTTCATGATTAAGGACAAAAATTACTATATTTAACTGTTCTTATATCTTCATAAAGATGAAAGAGACTCCTTTTATCATAGTTGCAAATCTATAGATTAGATTACAATAAAGTGATATCAAATTTAATTAAAACTTATTAAGAGATAATATAAAATTATCAAAATTAAATATTTAAAGAAAAAATATAATTTTTAGAGCTATAAATTTTAGTGTTTTAATTTTTTTGAGGGTATATTTAACTGCATATTTTAAATTTTTTGATGCACAAGTGCATATTTGATGATTTTTTTAGTGCATGAAAGTCCTTGCTCTAGTTATTACTTATTACTCTATAATTGTTGGTCTAATGGCTAAACTGTATCTTAATTTTTAATAGTGAACTTCACAATAATATTCGAAGAACTAAAAATCAAATTTAATGTGTTTATTGAAGGGACCTATTCTTTATAACTATTTCATAAGGAGTAACATTTAGGCAATTCGTACACTCGTCATTACTATTTTTTTTAAGTTTTAATCGGCGACGCCGTAGCAGCCGCTTGCGCATTACTTTCACGGTGCCACCACTGTTGTTATTAATACCTTATGTTAAGACAACACTACCTTCAGATGAGTTGTATTTTCTTAGTCTTACTAACATCAACAAAGCAAATTTTTATCCATGAAAACCAATTGAGTGTTTAATTTATAAGAAAAGTGTGGGTATAATATTACAAGATAAAAATGCATATTTCTAGCTTAAAAATTAAAACATCAAAAAAAAAGCTAACAAAGATAACTTTCTTTTCTTTAAATTCGATAACAGATCAAATTCACTCTAATATTAAGGCTAACTACACAAACTGGTTATATACTGAGCACAAATTTGCTATGTTGTATGTTTGTAAGACTAAGACAACTCATGTAAGAGTAGAGTCCTTTTAATAGTAAATTATTGTTAGTGTGAGTGTACTAGTACCGCTGCATGAAACACGAAACCATCTACACACATAAATGTACAAATCAACAGTATTGCCAGACGAAAAAAAAATACAAACGTGATTTACACAAAACACACAATATTTTTATATATTTTTTTTTTTTTTTGTTAAAAAGAGGAAAGATGTTTGCGTTTCTATCGCCCTATAAGAAATCTTTAACTTTCAAAAAAAACTATCAAAATCGGATCACTTTAACTGAGAGTTTTTCCTGTAAAAATAGTTTTTGAGCAAAAAAACCGGTCACGCGCAAGGCCTTAACTCATAAATTAATAATAATTTTAGTGAGGGGAGATACCAAAGGGTTCTTAGTGTATTTATTAATACTTCTGAAAACGTTTTAATTACATAGTCGTGAAGTTTATTCGAAAATAACTTTTTCACTTAAAATTTCAATTTCAAATTTTCAATATTTATCATAAACATTAAATTATTAACAATATCGAACTAAAAAAATTAATTTTAAAATCTAAGACAGTTGCTTTTAAATAAACTTTGTGATGAATTAAAATATGTTTTTAGGAATTGAGTAGAATGAACGTATTTAATTTTAATTCAATAATGTATTATTGTACACGAAAAACGATTCTGAGCCGAGGCTATCCATCAACATATATCACTAGTTTTATTTAATTTTATGTTTATGATGTTGCAATTAGGTAAACTAATTTATTTTACAATTAGTAATACAATAGGTAGAATTATTAATTCTAAACAAAAAAATTAGATTAAATAAAATTTGTATAAAATAAACACTAAAAGTTTTTCAACTCTACAAATTATGTTATTAAACTATAATAAAATATTCAATATCATTAACAATTCATACTGGTTAAATTTGTTATTATGATTTAGTTCAAATTTGATATTAAAACATCTACAAAGAAAAATTATGCTAATAAAGTTTTAAGATTTTATGGTTTTAGTATTACTTACTTATACAAACTTATAAATTGTACATTTTTATTATTTTACTTTTGTATTATTGTTTATTTAGTATAGATAAAAAAATATCAATATTTTAAAAGTTGAACCATTGTTTTTCCATCGTGTTCGTAGTTATGTGTCTAAAAAAAAAAAATACCTACTTTTTAAATGTATTAATTCATTAAAAGGCATTTTTGAT